ATCTTTGTGACAAGCTCTGGAGCAAGCTAACCAAACACAACAGTAGTTATTATATAAGATCATAAGGGTCGTCCTAAGTTAGTACCCAATTATGTCTAACATGTGAACTAAAGAATCCTTGTGAGAAGAGATGATCATGTAGGTGTGATAATAAATCACATTTATATGAAAAGAGTTAGGAACTAAGAATGCAAGAGGTTGTCGTTACATATATGAGAAGTTAAGAACTTGTCAAGATCCATCATCTAAATCAAATGTGAGTCACAAAAATAATAGATTAAGTCGTTGTTCAAGGGACATAAAATCTTTCGGTGACGTAAAAACAACAAATCTGGTTAAAACTAATTTTCACTTTTTCAGAGAGACAAATACAAAGAAACACATGTGCCGGTGACGTAAAAATGAAGAGCATTTCTTTGTCCGGAAGGTCCTCGGAGTTTCAGATCCGAGGTTTCAAAACCTCCATATCCATAGAGCCAAACTACGAATCGATAAAAAAAGGAAAACCGCGATCATGGAAAAAACAGCAAAAAAAATTTGGACCATTTCTTGATTTATGCGTGTCATCCTTGCACAGGGGCCATGCTAATCTTCTCTGTATCGTTCCAATTTTAGCAGATGACAATTACTGTTTCGACTCCATCTATATATAAACCATCGATTTGCTTCCATGTTTACCTATGTGGGACAAAAAGAAACGTACAAGAGATATTTTACAATTTGGGCTTGACAAGGCCTTCTTTTGTGTTTATTGAGTTATTACGGTGAGTTATTAAAGGACAACAAATCTGGTTAAAATTAATGATCAAAGAGATTGATACAAAGAAACACATGTAACAGAAGTTGTAGACTCGCTATATTTTGTAGAATGTGAAGCAAAGATGAGAGCATGTCGGTCCTTGGATTTTCTTGCCAGCGAATCAACTATTCCTGCTAATGCTTCATATTTCCTTGAGATAGATTAAGGTGAGAATTTCTTATTCATATTAGTACTTGCGCAGTCCTGTATCATATGAATAGCGGTGAATGAAACTTTTAAGCCACGACATCATTTTCATAAGAGAAGTTTCAGAGCAAAACAGTTTTAAGTTAACAAGGGATGTTAAAGTTATCTCATTTTTATTTTTAGTTGAATACAAGTTGATTTTTAAAAGGAGAGATAAAAATAATAAGTTGTGGTTTTGAAGTGATCTGTCTATCTAATACAAGAGAATCTTTACAACACACAAAAAGTGCTACATTCTAACATACAAGCAATTGCTGAGTACTACTCTGTTCTTGCAGTTGCAAAGAACATCTAGCACTAGAGATTGACATTAACAAAGCGTTTTCTGTGTCTCCATCCATTCGTCTTTGGATTAGTTTGATTAGATACTCCAAGAAAGCTGAATCGAATGGCAGTGTGATTGGTCCACCGGTTGGGAGGCCGAACTCTTCTTCAGAGATCTTCAAGAGCTCTTGGAGTACAGAGTTGCTTAGGTAACTTATCGGAAAAGCAAAGCGGGTTTTATCCGTCGTGTAAACTACAAAACATCCCTTCTCTACAACACCTGAGCTGCTAGTAGAAGCAATTGATCTTTGAAATGAGATCCTTTTCAGTTATTCGTGTAAAAATATACACAATTTTTTTATTTTTCTTAACTTCAATTTCCATTTATTTAAAGACTAAAGAGAGTAGAATTGTGAATCTTTTGTTTTGTATTCCAGTGTATTAATCTAACTATTAACATATTTGGATCTTAACAAAAACTTCATAATTTTTCTCTTTATTGCATAAGAGATTCTAAAACACAAGCAATTGTTGACTAGTTTTACTCTGTTTCTCTTGTTGTTGCAAAGAACATCTAGTACAATAGATTGACATTAACAAAGCCTATTCTGTGTCTCCATCCATTTGTCGTTGGATCTGATTGAAACCGAATCAAATGGCAACGTGATTGGTCTACCGGTTGAAAGGCCGAACTCTTCTTCAGTTACCTTTGCAATTACTCTAATCCAGTTCACTGGAATATCAAACTCACAAGTGGCTTCCTATTGAAATGAAAACAAAACATATGAAGACACAAAGACAAAACTGTAATAGAAAGAATCTGCTCTGCCTTTCAATATTGATCTTATCACTTGTTCGTTTCCAAGACAGAATTACACTATATTGAAAAGGATTTTATGTGAGAGTATGTATACAAAATTTCATCATATTCTACTTTTAGCACACAAACAAATATTGCATCTCATAATTGAACCAATCAGAAATGTAAACATGGAACATATTTGAAAATTGCATTAATCAAAGGTTGTAATACTTGCCAATTATATTTGTCCAACAAAACAGCAAAAAATAGTTTATAAACAATCATAGAATTCCTCTACTGATTGGACCATAAACAACAAGAAAGTAGAAAACGATACAAATATTCGACTAATACAAGTAAACAACCAATCAGATCATAAAAGAAACAATTTAGAGTTGCATTGACCAGAATCAATACAAATAAAACACCCAAGTGTATGTGCATGTCTCTGCCTTTGAATCTCTCTCAATAATCATTGGATTCTCTCAATTGTTGAGCTTTGACAGTTGCTGTGTTTCCTCTCTTCCAAGGAACTCTCTGTTGATCTCTGTTGTTTCTGTCTCGATGAATCTCCATAAGACCGTAAGAGTTGGGTTTCTTCTTCCAAGACAGAAGAAGTAGATGATTCATCAATGTAAAGATCACTTCTTGACAAGAACCTGAACTTGGTCAAGCAAGTGACTTGATCGTGAATGAATGTGCAGCCAAGTTGTTCCAGTTCATAGTGATACTTGAGATGATCATCGGCAACAACGGTTGGCACAACCTGGTTTATGGCTAGACGAGCTTCTAATCTCTTCCTTGCGATGTATTCCCTTCGATCATCAAGCTTCCTCTTTTCCTGCACTTTGTTTTTCGCCTTTGCGATCAAATCTCTCAAACTAGAACCTTGCTTCTCAGTCTCTTCATCAATAGGTTTCGTCCTTGTTTCGTGATGAAGACGTATTCTCGAAAGCGCAACAGATTTCGCATCCACCGGTTTTGTGATTTTCGACATCGAAGGTGTTTCGTTAGGGTTTTGAAATACCGAATATACCTTAGTAGTTGAGTTCTGTTCGACTGTTCTCTTTTGTCTCATGTTCGGTGCTTCTTCTTCTTCCTCCTTGAGATTTCTACAGGTTCGACTCAAAATCGCTGACTTATTAGGGTTTATGGGTAAAGACGAGACATCATCTGAGAAATCGATAAGCTTGCAACCAAGACGTTTGATTTTGAATCTCTGTTCTGTCGGAAACAAGTGCAACGTCCTCGAAGTCGAAGCAATCTCCATAGCTATTCTGAGAACAAGGAGAGGGGAAAAAAGCTTCTCGTCGATGGAAATATGAGAAGAAGATTGATGCGAATAAGAGATTGGAAACTTGTGACAGAAACCCTAACAGAGTAGAGAGAGGCAATTTTGTGGAGACTTTGGGAGCAAGTTAGTGAAGAGTACTGTATATGTACTCTCTCACTCCTCTCTCTCTTACTACTCGGCCTGCGTTGGGCCCATGCTGGGCACGAGTTGTTTTTTTTCATTTTTTTTTTGTCATCTAAAGATAGTGAAAACCATTCAATAATGACAATTACACATTACAGAACACAAATCCACAAGACGGGAACGACGTCCAAAAGATGAAACAAATTAACAAGTACATGAAAGATAATACTAAACCAACAAGATAGCAAACCCGGAGAAACAGAGTTAGAGAATGAGATTCTAGCGAAACAAGTTCAAGCTCAATCCAATTAAGAATAGAACCAATATGGGATGAGATGAATCACCAACCGGATAAAGATGTATTACCCTCCTTACCCCAATAATAAAACAGATGCGTTGTAACCTAACCTTCATACACTGTTCCGACATAGCGGAACCAGCCGAGGCGTCGCAGACAAATCAAAACCAGAGAGGACCATGTCCGAAACAATAGATTGCAGAGAGGGGAAAAGCAACGATGGTGAAGACTCCACATCCCAGGCGAAGAGAAACAGTTTTATATACGCCTCTACCAAAGAAGATACCGGCCAGATCAGAGCGAAGACACCACAAGCACAAAGCCAGAGCAAGCAGAACAAGAACTCAAGAGAAACACCAAAACCAATAACCACTGCTACGGGCCGAAACGTTAACCTTTACAACAACCGAAACTGAAAATTATAACCAACCAAAACCAAAACCGACAAAACCTCAAAGACCAACAAATCTATCCTAAGACAGGACAAGAGCCAAATCTGCACTACGCAACTGGAAAAGCAGAGAAAGAAGCTCACCGAGGCCAACAAAAGGCGGATCTGCTATCACCAACTAGAAGGTGAGCCGCAACACAAGCGAAAATCCCGAAACCTCAATTGATCTGAGCTGAGCAATCTCGAGACCGGCAGAGGACTACGACTTCGAGCCAGATCCACCATCCAAGAGCTCGACGACACCTACCCTTCAAACACATCCCTAGCCATAACCAAAGATCTAAACCCAAACCTACTAGAAAATACTATGAAGAACCTATAAGCACAATTGCCGGGCATAAAAACAAGGAGCCTAATATACACAAACTCCAGCGTCGGTGCTGAGAGAACCACCGAACGCCGGAGCCAATCTTGCAAACGATGAAGAAAATGACTGTATCAGGCGGCGGAGAGTTTAAAGAAATTTTTCTTCTATTTTGATATTTTTTATTTGCCGGCTCATCTATTTGGATTTTCTTTTTCTTTTTTCTCTTGATAATTGTATGTATTTATTTTTGTTTGATTAATTGTTTTGAATTCTAGTTTACGTTCTGCCTTTGAATCCCACTCAATAATCATTGAAATCTCTTAATTGTTGAGCTGTTTTTCCTCTCTTGCAAGGAACTATCAATGCTTTCGTCTTTTGATGAATCTCCATCAGACCGTAACGGTTTGGTTTCTTCTTCCAAGACAGAAGAAGTAGATGATTCATCAATGTAAAGATCACTTCTTGACAAGAATCTGAACTTGGTCAAGCAACTGACTTGATCGTGAATGAATGTGCAGCCAAGTTGTTCCAGTTCATAGTGATACTTGAGATGATCATCGGCAACAACGGTTGGTACAATCTGGTTTATGGCTAAACGAGCTTCTAATCTCTTCCTTGCGATGTATTCTCTTCGACTATCYATCTTCCTCTTTTCTTGCACTTTGTTTTTCGCCTTTGCGATCAAATCTCTCAAACTACAACCTTGCTTCTCAATCTCTTCATCAATAACCTTCGGCTTCGTCTTTGTTTCGTTAGGGTTTTGAAAGACCGGACATACCTTAGTAGTTAAGTTCTGTTCAAGAGTCTTCTTTTGGCTCTTGTTCGGTGCTTCTTCTTCTTCCTCCTCGCGATTTCCGCAGGTTCGACTCGAAATCTCTGAGTTATAAGGGTTTATGGGTAAAGACGAGACATCTGAGAAATCGATAAGCTTGCACCCAACACGTTTGATTTTGAATCTCTGTTCTGTCGGAAACAAGTGCAAAGCCCTCGAAGTCGAAGCAATCTCCATAGCTATTCTGAGAACAAGGAGAGGGGAAAAAAGGACTCAAGCTTCTCGTCGATCGATGGAAATATGTATGCAAATAAGAAATCAGAAACTTGAGACAGAAACCCTAACAGAGTAGAGAGAGGCAATATTGTGGAGACTTTGGGAGCAAGTTTGTGAAAACTACTGTATATATACTCTCTCCCTCTACTACTACTCAGGCTACGTTGGGCTCACGCTGGACATCTATGTATTTGCGATTTGTTTTTTTTTATTTTTATAAAGGGATAATTTGCCAAATAACTCAGAAAAAAATTATAATTAATTAAGTAGCCAAAATTCCCCTATGTGGCACAACCACAACCATTACATTTAAGTTTTTTTGCTACATAATTAATTATAATTTTTTTTTTATGTTATTTGACCAATTGATCCTTTTATAAATTGTTTTCTTAGTGTTCATCATTTGGATTTTTTTTGTCGGTTCATCTATTTGGATTTAATTTTTTTATTTTTTCTCTTGATAATTGTATGTAATTATACTTGGTTATTGTTTTAGATCCTAATTTTAAAAAGTCCCAATTTATATATGTTCATGAAATATATTCTTGGGTAAAAGTTTTTCATAAAAAACGAGAGTAACATCATCCATGCGATTGTGGCATTAGAACCCGCCAAATGGTGGGACCCAGACACCTAATTTATAAAAAAAAAATAACATCTTCTTAATAGTAAAATTTAATTTCTTTCTTACGAAAACTGATAAGTTAAATATATTTTTTTTTCTTACACAAGACTAGTTTGCCGGTGTTTGTTTGCCCCATAATATGCTTATGTGCATGATAAATCAATGATTTTATTTGTTTTGGACATCACTGATCCAATAGTGACTTCATCACAATTTATGTTCAATTTGGGACAAGTTTTCAAGGAATACAGTGGCCGTATGAAATCGAATACATTGCATTTGATCTTGTTGGGCGTCGGTTCCAGTGAATAACCATCTTGTCTCTCAATGGTAGAGTTCTTCTCCGGTGACATCGCAACATACACGACATCTGCCGGCTTTCTGAAGCAATTGTATATGATTAAAGATTGGGCATAGCAATAGATAATTTGGTATATGATGTATTTCATTATATTAGGTTACTTGCATGTGTTCGGATGATACAATATGTATTTATCATTTGTCTTCAAACATTATGTACAATTCTTAAAATATCATTGAAATATCATATATTCAAAAAAAGTTAAATATATTTTTCAGATCAAATTAGACATATAATAAGAAAAATGATAATAGCACTAAAATGACCATGAATTTTTTTAAAAAATTAGGTAAATAACTATAGTTTTTTTATAGAGAAATTGGCACTTATATTAGGTTTGGTGCCCATAATTAAGAATCTAACGCCACATAAAAAAAGAAATAAGTGTATAACATTCAAATCAAATAAAATATTCATATTACCCTTCGTTAATTTACACCTTTTATTAGGAAAAAACAAAAACAGAAATTAAAATTACCAAAATAAAGAAAATCCTAG